ATCCAATCTAATGGTAGTATTGTTTTCCTTAAATACCCCGTAGTAATACGGAGTACTTCGTTCCAAATGGTCTCACTTAATAGGTCAACCATTTCCTTTTTTCTTTACTTATTTGTGTTGATCATTTATTAAAAAAAATACATCATATAGGGTAAGAGATCACTAGACTGAGACATAAGATATTTTGGCTAAAACACATTAAAATATTGAAGCTAATTGATTATCTAATTCAATTCAAGAGATTATATACTGATTACTTTCTCTTCAACTTGTGATCGATGTAGGATATTGTAAGTCTGTAAGACTCTCCCCATGTGGACAATCAAGCTATTTTGAATATAACCGGTTGACATTTGTAAATGGACTTCCTTCCCCTTGAAACCCTTATTTGAGAATGCAACAACAACACCTATATGACCACGAGTCACCGGGTATGTACTTTCAGATAAACAATCGGGTTAAATGAGCCACATGCCATTTTTGCTAAAGAATTCTCCCTAAATATGAGTAAAAAACGTAAAAAAATAACAAAATAGGAGTCTTAAATCGTTTAAGACTAAAATAGGAGTACAATGACAGTGTGGTGTAAGAGTATGCATTGACAGTGTGATGTGATGAAAAGTGATGACAATGTAATATATAAGCGTGATCAGTCTACCGTCGGTGATCCGCGGCAGCATCTTGGTGGTCGGCAGCGACAGATGGCAGTGTGGCACGCGGTGATAGTATGACAGTTACAATCTGACAATGTGGTGAGTGTGGCAATCTAATAATGACAATGTGAACTTCTATTTTAGTCTTAAAAGACTTGTGACTCCTATTTTGATATTTTCACAATTTTTTACTCCAATCTAGAAAGTTCTACCTTTTTGTTTCGAACAACTAGGCGAAAGACTCGTGGGATGATAGAAATGAACATCTAGAATGACTTGAAGGACACCATGAAAAATGAGGTTGACCAAAACCTGATCCTCCCTCAAGTGAACAATGAGGTGTTAGAATAAAGGCTAAACGCCAAAGGGGGGAGGGTGAATAGCACTTAAAGGAAATTGCGGGAAATTAAAACAAAGTAAGCGAGAAATAAAGAGCGTAAGGAAAGAACACACCAGTTTACACTCGCTTACCACAATTTGTGGCTATGTCGAGTCTCCCAAGAGACTCTTTTGAAAGCTCTACTAACTCCGTTAAGCTTAAAGGTGCTTAACAAGCTGATACAACTTGACAACTTGAGTCACAATAGTAACAATAATTATAATAGTAGTAATAATAATAATAGTAATAATAAATTTAATGGTAATAATAGAAATAGTAATAATAACAATAGTAACAATAATTATAATCATAATAATATTAATATTAATTAGAGTAGTAAAAATAGTAATAATAATAATAATAATAAGAATATTAATATTAACAATAATAATATTAGTAATAATAATAATAATATAAATAGTAATAGTAATAGTAATAATGTTGTTTAGATGTGATTTGATTGGATCTAATCTGCTCTGATCAGATTTGATCTGATCTGAATGGATCTGATTGAATCTGATCTGGTCAGATCTGATCTGATTTGATTTTAATAAGAATAAGTAATAAACAGAAAAAATAAGTTGAACGGAACGCTGCCTAAGCCATAATAAGTAGTGGTGGGCAAATAATTCGGGTAACCGTAACTTGCATAGTTCGATCCGAGATTGGGTCGGATCTGGTTGCAGCTGCTTGAAAATAGGCAGAACCCGTTTATACCCGTCGTTCTAGAAATAGGGTCGGAAGACGAGTGAAACATAATCAACCAAAACTCGACCTGTGTCCGCCCCTAATAATAAGACACTTATGTTCAAATACATTAAAAGATTGAATCCAATCGGTTACTTAGTTCAATCTATGAGCTTGTATAGTAAATACTTTTTTTCAAGTTTCAATGTGAGATTTTTTAACACATGTTACCTATTATTTTATTGAAAATTTAATGGAATTTGTCATATATAAATTTTATTTTGAAACTATATATCCCATTACATAAATATATTAAAAATTCAAAATAAATTCATTCAAATTTCACTAAGGCTCTATTCCGTTCAACTTATTTTTTCTGATCTGATATGATTTTTTGTAGTTCTGATATGATATGATCTGGTCTGAACAGATCTGATTAGATCTGATCTGATCTAATTAGATCTAATCTGATCTAATCTAATCTGATTGGATCTGATCACATCTGGTCTGATCTAATTGGATCTAATCTAATCTGATTAATTATTATTTGATTTAAAATTCAAATCAATAATTTGATTTGACTTTATAAAAACATTTGAAAATTGTAATGATAATTCATATTATAATATAATCAATATTTTTTTATGAAATAAAATTAGTTAATTCATATATTGGAATAATCATTCATATTATAATGTAATAATATTTTTTATTTTATGATTATTTTTTATGAAAAAAGAATATTGATTTAATATTTTGATAATTAGTTCATATATACATTAGAATAAATATTTAATTCATATATACATTAGAATAAATATTTAATTCATATATACATTAAAAAGTAATTAAATTTAGATAATCAATATAGAGAAGGGATAGTGTTTTTATTAAAATATCTCATCCATATAAAATATCAACGTGTGCTTCGTACTACAAAACTTTTTTTATGATTAATATAACACTATAGATATAATAGTTATTTCAGTTATACTAAAAACTACTCCGTATATGAATATCAAATGTTAATTTTATCTAAGTCATGATCAAAGTTGATCAACTTGATGTAGTAAAAGATCAAAACTTTAAAAACTCAAATTACAGGTAGCAATAAAAATTTATTTTAAAAATAGAATTAGATTGACATTGTCAATGTATTTTAAAAATAATTTTTCCGACGTCTAATAATTAAGGATTACTTTCTCAATTTTCTATTTAACTTGTTTCTAAAGTTTATTCCTTTTAATTTTTAAGATTATTACTATTATTATTATTAATTCTTGATTGGATCTGATCTGATCTGATCTGAGTCGATCGGATCTGATCTGGTTTGATCTGATCTGATTTTAATAAGAATAAGAAAAAAACAGAAAAAATAAGTTGAACGAAACGGGGCCTAAGAGCACTAGAAATACGTATTAAGTCCCGAGACTTCAAACTTTCTCTCTGCCACGTCAGCTTTAACTTACCTCATAGATTCAATGAAAATGAGTTTGAAGTCCCGGGGCTTTAATCCTTTATTTTTTACATTTTAAATAAACATGTTCTAAAACTAAATTAATAAAATCCAATTATTTAATTATTTAATTAAATTGAAATGAGAATAATTCATAAAAAATTACACTCATTAAATTAAAAAAATTAAAACGACAATAATTCATAAAAATTACATTTAATAAAAAACTAAGGTAAATTATATTTAGCCTTGATCTCTTTTTGTCTTCTCTCGAAAATCATACGTTTGAAGCCCGATAAGTACGTATCAAGGTCGGTTTCCATTATTTTGATCTCTTCGTTCTGTGGCTTTCTTTCTTTCGATCGGCCGTGAAATGAGGTCCTCGTCATCGAAATCGTCTACGTTGAAGAGAGGCCTTTGTTCGGACGAACCGATAGTGTCCTCGACCTCAACCTCGGCATCGACAGAGAATCTTTTCTTTTCGGATCCGGCCTCGAAATTGTTGAGTTGTTGCCATTTTGGTGAAGGCTTAAAATTCTCCAAAGATCGATGGACACCTTGCCTTGGTGCACGTCATCTTGATACAGAGCCGTGGCTAGCTAGAGAACATCGACGTCGTTCATCCCGCTCTTTTAGGACCAATAGCATTCCTCGTAAACTCTGATAAACTTTCAGACTTTACGGTTGATGTGACCCCATTTCGAAGTGAGTTGGTCCCGGGTACGGTACGAGGCGTCTTATACGATCTCACATCGCATCTTTCGTTTGCTCCGAACCTTTAAAATTATATAATTGAACGATTTTTTTAACACAAATATAACACAAATATATAAATAAGAACACACATATTAGAAAACATATAATTTTTACCAACGATAGGATGCTCGGAGACGTCAACCCAAGCCGACGCCAACAAGGACTCTTTCTCCGGCATCTACTTTTGGATTGACGGTGCCGCCTCGATCATCAGTTTCTTGCCTTTCGCTTTGTGATTCTTCTGGTGTGCACTCTTTTTTGTTCCTAATGGTTCTGTTGAGTCTCTGGAATCGACTCCGGCTCATCGAGGTTCACCGATGTTTGCGTTTCAAACAACCTTGGATTACTCCCGTATTGTTGGAAGATCCACATCGCGTACTCGTTTGGCTCGAGATCGTCGGGAGAAAAACCAGAGCCAGAGGAATTCATGATAACAAAAATTGAAGAAAGGAAAGAGGCGAGGAAGATTGAAGATTGGAGAATGAAAAAGGAAAGTTGTGAAGAGGATTGAAGATTGGGTTTGATATTTATTTAAAAAAATTAATTAATTTTTTAAAAAAATTTGTAATGGCTAAATTAGCCGTCGGAGAGGGGGGGAAGAGTTATTGCATTAAACCTTTGACGCAACCCAATGCCGCCGGAAAGACGCCCCTAGGGGGCGGTGTTTAACGCCGAAGAGGCCTTAAACGCCCCATGGCGCCCCGGCATCAGACATATTTCCATTGCTCTAATACTCATAATGAAACAATATGGTTTTTGAACATCCAAGATGCTCCCTATTTTCTGTATTAAATCATATCCTCTAAACCAGTTTGGTAAGAAAAATTAGAAAAAAAAATCATTCCTCACCAATTCTATGAACCAAACACTTTTGTTAATATCAAACGATGTGGATTTTAGCATGACACATTGACACGTCAACATAACCTAGCCCGTGTCTTATTCATTGACCAAAACAATTTCGAAATCAACCAACCTATACAAAAAAAAAACAGTAATAATAAAAATAAAAGCTGAGATAAATATCTTCCCATGGGTATAAATACCGCTGAAAGCCAGATTCAATTCTCCGCCCCAAGCGTCCCCCCACCCGAAACACTTGGCCACTTGGGTCCTTCCGGCAGTCTGTCCCGTCGGCACAATGACGACGGCCGATAAGGACATCGAAAACGGCGGCGCCGGCGTATGGAGTAAAGGGACGACGACGACTGGGGTCGGCGATGAACTGGAGGTGCCGTTCCTGCTTCAATCCTCAAAGATTATTATTGACGAAGAAGAAGAAAAAGAAATTATTGAGGAGAATAATAAGGGTTCGGTTTGGATGGTGATTGTGAGCACCTGCGTAGCTGTTTGCGGCTCTTTTGAATTCGGATCTTGTGTCAGTTCATCCATTCCTTCTTCTCTTTCTTATAAATATTTTGAATTCCCTGCAAAATTTTTACAATTTCGACAATTAAAATTACTTCAATTTTTTTAAATGCTAGTATTTTCTGTTACTGGGTACAATTGTAATATCTTTTCTTAATCGTTTCCACTGGGAATTGAACCAGTCACTTTGGTGTCATTAGTCCCCGAGTGGTTAGAAACTTAGAATTTGTTTTATAGAACCTTTTGGTTTTAATGTTTTTTTGTTATTGTGTAATTTTGGTTTTTTACTAATATTTAAATAAATTAAATTGAAAATAATTTTAATCAGAGTTCATTTTGTTTTTAGGAAGAGAATAATTAGTATTTCCTAGTTCAATTAATTTCTTTCTCACTTTTCTTTTTTACCGTCCAATTTTTTTCATCTCCTATGTTGACAAAAAACTTTTAACTATTATGTCATTAATTTGACCCCACTTTTTTACTTAAGTGCAATTTACACTAAATCAGACTAAGGGGCTGTTTGTTTCAGCCTCTTAATGGTTCAGATGTCTGAATGGTTCAGCACTTAATGGTTCAGACTGTTTGTTTCAGCCTCTTAATGGTTCAAATGTCTGAATGGTTAAGTATTATACAGAGTCTGAATGGTTAAAACCTCTTATCTGAATTGATCAGACATTTGCCTCTGAATAGTTAAGCAATATACTAGCTCTTAATGGTTCAGACCTCTTACTGGTTCAGCACTTAATGGTTCAGACCTCTTACTGGTTCAGCACTTACCCATTCAGAAGTTGCCAAACAGCCCCTAAATCATAAGTCATTTCCCGTAGAATATAATTCTCTAAATAGTACTTAATGAACAAATGCACATTATTGCTATGATTTGCAGGTGGGATACTCAGCACCAGCACAATCTGCCATTAGAAAAGACTTGGACTTATCAGTGGCCCAGGTAAATTCTTTTTGGCTTGTTCTTATCTTAAAATTTTACTGCACTTGCTCTTTTTTTAATCTGTCCATTTACTACTCGGCATTACTGTATTTAGTGTGTGTAGTTACATCTTCTTTCTAGTCCTCATTTGTTAAAAATCAAATTGTTGGCCCAATTTTAATTTCATTTAAGATAAGCAATCTTTTTCCCAACAGAGTCTTTGTGATGTGATCCAGTAACAGATCTGATAAATATTGAAAACTCTCGTGTAAATCGATATCTTTTGTAGTAGTTTTTAAATATATAAATTTAATTTTAAAATTTTTGAATTGATACAACAAATTAAATTTAAAATATCCTAATTGCCTGAATACATTTTTCTCGATAAAAATACTAGGGGTACACCAAAAAATGTACCCAAGTGTACCCCAAAGCATCTCCACCACATAATTTAAATATTGATAAAAAATTAATGAATAAATATAGAATGAATGGTTGACAATGATGGTGTACAAATGGGGTGTACCCCTAGCATTACTTTTTTTCTCGAAAAGGTTTGTAAGTTTAATAAAAGGATATGTCCCCAAATGATTTTTTCATTTTCCTCCTTTGTTTGCATTAAAATTATTTTCTTTTCTCTGCATAAATCAAAGTCAAAACACAAAATTTAATTTAGGACGGAAGAAATATGTTTGTTTCAGTATTGGGACTATATATGTTTCCCTGTTTAGTGATAATTTAGGTTTGCATATTTACAATGCAGTTTTCCATGTTTGGCTCTATTATAACAATTGGAGCAATGATTGGCGCAACAGCAAGTGGCAAAATTGCAGACCTCATGGGTAGAAAAGGGGTGCGTATTTATTATTCAAACTTTACCAATAAAAAAACACATTAACATACTCCGTATTCAAGAAGTTTTAAATTCCATATGTTTATTTACATGGGTCTGTTTTTATTTTCTTTGTTCCTTTTTTTATATAAAAATGTCACACAGGCGATGAGATTGTCGGCGGTGATCTGCATTGCTGGGTGGCTTGCAATTTATTACTCAATGGTAAGTATGGCTGGCTGCTTAAAAATACAAAAAACACAATTTTTATTTTTATTTTTTATTGTTTGAAAAAAAAACAACCCGTTACCAAATGGATCATTTGGTAAAAACAACCGTTAGTTTCCCAAATGGAACATGCATTGCTGGGATTCTATTGGGTTGTTAATGTTGGTGTGCTTGTGTTTATAGAATTCATTCGCTTTGTTTTAAATGTTCTCAACTGAATTTAAGTAAAGTGCAAGTTTGTAATTTTAATTTAAAAATATTGAGTGAAATGAAAATAAGTTCAAAAGAGCCAACTACATTGATGGCTTTGATGTAGTAGTTTAATTTGTAATATATCATTTCACTCTTTCGTGTATTAATTTTACAAAGTACAGTACTCATACAGTCATACTATTTGAATATTTTAATAATTGTGTTGAGTCAAAACCCCAACCTTTTTCATACAATTAAGGTTAAATCCGGACAAATAAAAATAAGATATTGGACAACTAATTGGGGGGACGAAAGGAGTTTTATTATTATTATTATTTAATACTTACTCCCTTTACTGATGACAAAAGGGATCATGGTCACTTGATATGGGAAGGTTCTTCACAGGATTTGGCATAGGAATATTCTCTTATGTGGTAAATATTATATATTCCCTCCATCCTAGAGTATTCGTTTAATTTGAATTACTATGTAATTACATTAAATTTGTATGAGCACATATAGAGCATCCAGTTATAAGTTGATATCATAACATTGCAACAGGTTCCCGTATTTATAGCTGAAATCGCTCCAAAGAATCTTCGTGGCGGACTAACAACAATTAATCAGGTAATAGCACATTCAAAAGATACACTGAAGTCTTATTCACTGTATCAAAATAAAGTCTCGTCTAACTCTGTGCCCGTTTGACAACTTTGGTCTTTTGAAAAACTATCTAACTACAACATTTAACTTTAATCTTTTCAAATCCACACGCTACACATTACCTACTATCATGCTAATGCAAATGCAAAATTGATGGTGGTTGACGGTACTATGAGGCATTCGTGTGTGTGTGTGTTGTTAGAGTATTCCCTCCAGTCCTTATAAGGAACCATTGATTTTTTACTTAGAAATTAGGGTTTAAAAGAAGTATCTTAATTTCTTCTTATATTTATATAATTTTGGGTTAGTTTTGTTATGGAGTATATGACATATTTTGACAAAAAAATGACATTTTTAAATCATACAATCATTTATTTATGATTTCACAAAAATATCAAACTGGTCCTTATTATTAGGACGGGAGGGAGTATATCTTAATTTCTTCGTATATTTTTAATATTTTGGGTTAGTTTTGTTATGGAGTATATGACATAATTTGACAAAAAAATGACATTTTAAAATCATTTATTTATGATTTGACAAAAATATGAAACTGGTACTTATTTTAAGGACGGGAGGGAGTATATATTAGAAATTAGTTTCTAACCATTATTTTCTTTCATAGTTTAGAAATTAGTCTTATGTTAGAAAAAGAGATTTGATGTCTTGTCATAATTAGAAAAATCTTGACTCTCTACATATGCTTCATTCTTGTTTATTGCGAAGGAGAGGAAGTCAATACAAATAATATAATAACTCAGCTCTGTTAATTGATCCGCTCTATGTAACAATATAAAATACCTTTGATGTGTCTACAAGCACAAACTTGAGCTTATGGTTGATTTCCATTACATGATATTGGTACAACAACACTGACCTAGAGGTCATGAGTTCGAACCTTACTCACATCCAACTTGCATAGCTTGTGTGTGTGTGTGTGTATGGGGGGATTGATAATTACTATACGAATACATTGTTTTGAATTGCATGCAGCTTATGATTGTTTGTGGCTCATCAGTTGCATATCTACTAGGGGCTGTCATGACTTGGAGATATTTAGCCCTCATTGGTGAGAGGATATTTCTTTCACTTAGTAAAAATTAAGAACTTAAAATATAGAGATGTGGTGAAACAATGAACATATAGACTCCGTATGACATTAACTTTAACTTTTAGCTTCAACGTCTTGAAAATTTCATCCAACGATAGCTTTTAGCAGTTAGTGTTTTCAAAGTCCATTTGCATAATTAATAAGTTATCACCCAAAACACAAACACTAATGAGAAACATTGTTCCCATTTCCAAAATGAAGCCATATTTCTATATGTAATTATATATATACCTGCAGGAATTATTCCATGCTTGTTCTTGCTTGTTGGTTTGTTCTTCATCCCAGAGTCACCAAGATGGCTGGTAAGTCGTCATTATTGGCTACATGTGTTATTTTCCATTCTTGGATCCTCTTGATGGTCGGTAAGTCGTCATCATTACTATTGAAAATTTGAACAGGCTAAAGTTGGCCGGGAGAAAGATTTTGACATAGCACTGCAAAGGCTTCGCGGGAGTGAGGCAGATGTGAGTCAAGAGGCTGCAGATATCCAAATGTATGTTGATAGCCTCCAAAGTCTGCCCAAAGCAAGAATCCTTGACTTGCTGGAGGCCAAATACATTCGCTCCGTAATTACTGGCGTGGGATTAATGGTGTTCCAACAAGCTATTGGGATCAATGGGATTGGTTTCTATGCTAGTGAAACATTCTCTGCTGCAGGTAACAGATTTTACTTGTCGTTAAACTCATTTCTCATAGACATGTCTGATTAGAGCACTAATCATACATTCTTTTTTTTAATGAAAATTGCAGGACTAGCAAATGGAAACATTGGGACTATTGCCTATGCCATTGTGCAGGTTTGCAATTAAATTAATTAATTCTCAGCATTCCCTAAAGCTTCGGTGTTTTGGGCAAAAATTTTCATGACCATCTTGTAATGGTTGGAACTGGTGTTATTTTGGCAGGTCCCTATAACCGTGGGCGGGGCAATGCTGATGGACAGATCAGGAAGACGCCCACTTCTCTTGGTAGTTCTCGTTTCTACTATAGTTTTAGTCAGTGTTTCACAATACTTTAAAAACTTTTTTTTTTGCTTTAGGTGTCATCAGCGGGAACATTCATTGGGTGCTCTCTTACTGCAGTTTCTTTTTATCTAAAGGTATTAATGGCCAATGTGTTATAACAAATTACGAATTACTTTTATAAATGATCTTCAAGCTAATTGTTAATGATTCTTTTTTTTAACTCAGGGTCAAAGTGTTTACCTTGATTCTGTTCCAATACTAGCTGTATCTGGAGTACTGGTAATTCTCCCTCCAAACAATGCTGATTTAAGAAGTGGAAAAAAACCCATCATTGAATAACTCTAATTAAATTCATTGATTCATATTGAGCAGATATATATAGCAGCATTTTCAATTGGAATGGGAGCAGTTCCATGGGTTATAATGTCAGAGGTATATCCCAATCTTAAATACATGCTAATTTTCCAGCTCTAAATTAACAGTAATGCTACCATAACACCAATGGTGATGCTGTTTTCCTCACAAATTATTGGTGTTATTCTAGCATGATTCCCTAAATCAAACACTGAACATTTGATGAGTAATTAATATTCTTCTTCCCCAGATATTCCCCATTCATGTAAAGGGAGCTGCTGGAAGTTTGGTTGTTTTGGTAAACTGGCTAGGTGCATGGGTAGTGTCTTACACCTTCAACTTTATGATGGAATGGAGTTCTGCTGGTGAGCTTTTTTTTTGTTTTGTTTTTGCATTTTACATCCTTCTTCACTGCGAGAAAAAGAAAACAACAATAATACTAAAAAAAAAGAAACGAGAAGTTTATTTAGAGACAGAAAGATACAAGATGAACATATTTCGTTTTGTGTTGGATTTTCCATTTTTATGGAAAATAATAATTCTCTCCTTTTGCAGGTACTTTCACGCTTTATGCTATGTCTTGTTTGCTCACCATGTTGTTTGTGGTCAAAGTTGTGCCGGAAACTAAGGGAAAAACTCTTGAAGAAATTCAAGCAGTCATCAACTCAAAGAAATAGATAAATACCCTAACCAGCCACCGAAAGAAAATTATTTGGATTAAATAGAAATTCTTCTTCGACGGAGCGTGCGTGACGTGGAATGAGATCTCAAGAACCGAAAGGATTTTAGCGCAAACACGAAAACATTGCATACGAAAATGTAATGTAAGCTTTCCTAAAAGAATAGAATTGCTTTGTGCCATGTTATGTTGTAGGAAGAAATATGTTCTTTGTAGCTAATTTAGGCATAGTAAAATGGGACAAATGTACCTTTTACTTTCGTCTTCCTTTGAAATGGTCCTTTATTTTTTTTACATTTGTACTAAAACTTATACTATTTCTTTCAGATTTAGTCATTCGCTTGTTTTGTTTGTCCAAAATAATTATTCATTTTTTTGTTTTTTTAACACTAATAATTATATTACAAGATAGTATATGTCAATACATTCTTAACATATTTAAGAACGTAGGGTTATTATTGCACCACCAAAGATCAAACACAAGATTGATCTTTGGCTACGTTTTCGTATTCAATAAAGAAGTAATGATAAATTAAAATATTGTTGGCGTAGGATATATGCATCCTTAATACAAATAGAGAACTAAATCATTTGTTTAAGAGTACATTTTTTTACAAATGCGGACACAACTATTTTTGGAAAATTTTGAGAAGCAAACCTGTATACTTGGAAAAGGTTATTATGAACAACTTTTCAAAACCTTAAAAAATAGAGGGGAGTATGATTATTATAGACCGTGTTTATTGAAATGATAAATCAAGATATGATGTTCCCAATGTCACAGACATAGTATCACTTCATCATATTATTATGGGCAATGCTAGGGATACACCAATATAGGGTACCCCATGTTGGTGTACCCCTAAATTAATTCTATTATTATATACTCTCCATTCCAATTTTGATTACAAATTGAGAATTACGAGATAAAATCTCACGATTATCAGCATGTCGTAATAGTAATAATTGTATCCATTTTAGAACGGATGAAGTACAACATAATCCAAAGAAAAATGGACAAAGAAATAGAATAAACATTGAACATGCCAAGTAACTTGCTCGATCCATTAATTATTAAATGGAGAATAGATAGTAGAGAAGGCAACCGGGAGACGAAGCTAAGCGGTTAGTATAGAGGTGCTACAAGAGAGAAATTCCGAGTTCGAAGTCTGATGGCTGCGATGAGAGGCAATATTGCAAAACATAGGGCTTCTATAGGTATCAGGCACGGAACTCCACCCTTATGCCAACTGAATGAGATTATGGCTCAATTTACCTCCTCTCATTTAATTGTCCAATCAGTGCTAAGGGACCCTCGTTGAGGAGAAATGTGTTGAACCAATGGACCACGAGACAATACATGGGACAATGATAAATCCATACTACACTTCTATAAACTAGACCTCGTACCCGTGTGTTACAAGGAAAGAAAATGTAATTTAAATTATTCTCTCCGTCCTAAAATATTCTTCTCAATTAATACTCACACGGTCAAACTTTAATCACTTTTTAAACCTATTTTCATTAATTATTTGATAAAATAATAGAGTCTTGCCACCTCTTGTTTTGTAGAACTTTTGGTGTAGTTTTTTAATATATAAATTTTATTTTTTAATGTTACACCTAAAGTCAAGAAAAATTAAGTTGCAAATAAAGTTGGTCAAGCCTCGTAAACAAAAACGAGAAGAACGTTTTAGGATGGAGGGAGTAATATGCAATATTTTTAAGAATTAAAGAGTATTTCGAGTAACATGACTAATTCTAAATTATTACAAAGTGCATTACAAAAAATTACTCCGTAACAAAGTATATATTTTAAATTTCAAAAAACTTCTTTATAAATAACATTAGAGAATCTTTAATCCAAAGTTTTCAAGAAGTTATTTCACCTAGAAAAGATATTCTGAAGTTTATGTTGAACACATGTAGAGCACCGGTTACTCTATTTTCAAAGAAGTTTAGGGAGCAACCCCCACTAAAAATGGTAGCTCGAGCATTGCTTATGCACACAAATTTGCCAATCTCTACATGGGGTCATGTGACTCATGTAGTATTGCATGCATCTTTACTTATTCGCTTTAGACCCACCGCCACACAACAGTTTTCTGCATACTTGTTGGTGACTAGTTATGAGCCTGATATTTCACACCTATGGATCTTTGGTTTTGCACTGTACGTGCCGATCACACCCCCACAACGTACTAAAATGGGTCCTCTAAGACGACTAAGTATTTATGTTGGATATGAATCACCAACAATTATTCGCTATATAGTATTGTTGACTGGTGATCTCTTTACTGCTATTTTACGAGGATAATGGTACTTGCATCGAACAAATGAAGCTTGGATATATCAAAGGTGATAACACCAAACACATTTCTCCCAAGTTTTTCTATAACCAACAACAACAAACTCTCCTCAAGATACAAGTAAACCAAATAAAATCTAAGGAGAATGTGGTAGATTTATTCACAGTCATTACCTAAGGCCACAATTGAGAAACATGTGAAAATATTGCGATGCGTAGACTCTCAAATCTCCCTTAAGAATGTACACATCAGGGGGAGATTTGGACCTTGAGAAAGTCTAACATGGATGTTAAACTCTTTTCCATGCAACCAAGGTTTATTTTTCATATAAGGTTTTGTTACTTAGTATGGTTTTTAATGAGGTAACACGAATGATAGGAATCAAAGTAATAATCAAAGAAATAATAGACTCAATATGAGAAGTCTAAATCACAAATCTCTTGATAAGACATTAAAATATCGCTATTCTACCTACAACTCATCCCAAGGGGGAGTGTTGAAGTAACTTATAAAGTAGTGTGCTATTTGTAGATAGAACTTATATTATACTCCGTATTATGTACTCCCTCCGTCCCTAAATAGATTACAATTTTTTTCTAACTCCTCTCGATAACTTTTGTTTGTTTACGCAATTTCATTAAGTATTTGATAAAATAAAATATTCTTGTCACCTCTTGTTTTGTAGAACTTTTGACGTAGTTTTTTAATATGTAATTTTTATATCTTATCGATATACCAATTTGTAAATAAAATGATTTCAAAAATAGAAAATTTCACTCCGTAACCCGGAATTTGTAATCAAATTAGGGACGGAGGGAGTAATATATTTGTACGGGCCCAATGGGCCTTCTCTTGTAAACCCTAACAATGAAGAATAACTCATAATGAAGAATGGACACCTCTTTGCTTTAAAAATTACCAAGTTTTTAGTTGTCCACTAATCCACTGTATCTTCTTTCTTTAAGAATTAAATAACTCATAAATGTACGTAAACTTTGTTTGTAATTCCTACTGATTGTCCTTGACTCTTATTTGAAAGATTTTTTTATCAAAGTAAGACTAAAACATTGAAAATATACCAAAATAGGACTTTCATGTTTTTATTTCCGAAATAGGACTTACATTACCAAACATGGTCATATACATTACGAAAACAGTATAGTAATGTGCACATGTACACTGCTACATTACCATAGTGCAAAGTCACATTACCACAGTGCAAAGTCCTATTTCGGAGAAAAAAACATGAAAGTCCTATTTTGGTACTTTTCTTTATGTTTTAGTCTTATTTAGGGTGATTTCTATTGTTTTAATAATATACAAAGTAGTGATTTAGTCATAATTATAAAAAAATATCTAGTGTTTTGTCTTATCTAAAGCATTTTTACATAAGTAGAGAAAAAAATATAAATAATGTGAACTCGCTAATTTATAATGCAAAATTAAAATCGCTAGTTCCAACTTCCAAGCCATTTGTGTTATTATTTTGCTGTATAAAATGCGATATAATGATTCAGTATTTGAAATCGATTCAATGTTTGAGAATCTAAACCATAAAATAGTTTTGAAGAAAGTAGTACCAATGCCGTTAGGGGTGTGGATTATTCGGTCCATACTCGAACCGGCCCGAAACCTGATCAAAATCGGTCCCTTTCCAATTGGGTCTTCGATCCTCTAAAATCTCTTATTAGGGTTCCGATCCTGTCCATCAGATTTTGGTCCGAACCAGTGGACTAGTCAAGTTTTATTATTTTTTTAATATTTTTTTATATAATAATATAATATGAGTTATGAAGTTTTTTCTTATATTTTGCTCATGTTACAATATTACTAAGACTAATTCAATGTCAATCGTATTTTTTATCACAAGTTTTTTCAAATAGTCAGTTTAAATAAAAATACTAACAATTCTAATAAAGTTTATCCTTACAAATTATATTACAATATTTTTAAGACTAATTCAATGTTACAATTTTATTTTCTATTAAAGAAATGATTTTTTCGTGGGAAGAATGAAAGAAATTTTTGAACATTCGTATACCTTTTTAAAATGATGTCATTTACTATTTTTTTACTTATAAAAAAGATATACCGCGGAGTATGTAAGATTTGTGTGTCGGATTATGATCTAGGCCGGGTGTAAGAACTATGTTAAAAAATTTAAATAATGGTGATTGACAACGTTTAATGTCTTACATTCTCATCATCTTTCCATCACACTGTCAAGATGTTCTCTAACATCTCATTGTCATTTGTCAAGATGTTCTCTAACATCTCATTGTCATTATACTCCTATTTTGGTTTTAAAAAATTTAAGACTCTTATTTTGTTATTTCAATACCTTTATACTTCTATCCAAGGAGATTAATTTAGAAATTAGTAATAGTAATATTTTTTACAAGTGGACACGTTAACTTAAATAGATAAGATAACTTTTTAAACAAATATTGGCATAAACAGTCTGGTTTGGGTTTTATCGCTCCGTCCCGGGCCAGTCCTTATCTTATTCGGGCTGGTTCCCTGTCCAAGAAATGTGTCTTATACGGTCCCTGCCCGGTCCCGCTCCGGACCGGTCCAGTCCAGGTTTGGACCGATCTAGGTTTGGACCGATGCTCACTCCTAAATGCTATTATTGAGAATCATTGATTAAATATTTGGATTGTGTAATGATATAAGATTGGTCATTGAAGAGTTGTGAAAAACGTCATTGTCGTAGTTATAGTATCAGAAAACAATGTCAGAGAGAAAGTTAACATACCACAAATGAATTTGGTATCGTCTAATCTTGGATTACCTTTGAAATTTCAAAGAGGACAATTCTCTATATCTTTATGTTTCACTATGATTATCAATAAGAAAAAAGGTCAAACATTGTCATTTGTTAAATTACTTTTTATCAAATTAATAATCACTCAAAGTTAATTTCTGTTGTTTCGAAAGTGAAAACAAAGACAAAATTAAAAGTATTAGTTTTAGATGATATCGAAAATGGGTAGCACTTGCAAATAACAAAGTTAAAACGACCTGGTTCCATTGCCACTGGATTCCAGTGGCCACGGAAGCCAGTGCCCCCTATGGAGCTCCGTTCATAAAATTGATGATTCCTGCCCCTCTAACCCCCCGGTAAACCCCCGTCAAGTCCCGACCCAAACTAATCACTCTACCTACGTCAATTGCACCTCGTAAGTATCTTACGAGGGGCAATTGACGTAGGTAGAGTGATTATTTTGGATCGGGACTTGACGAGGGTTACCGGGGGTAGGAATCATCAATTTATGAACAGAACTCCGTAGGGGACAATGGCTTCCGTGACAACTGGAATGGAACCCGGCCGAATTTAAAATACTACTCCGTAATAAATAAAGAATTTGAAAAACAAGTAAGGGATATGCTAGGGGTACACCAAAAAGTGTACCCCAAATGTACACCACCCTTCTACTAACCATTCATTTTATTTTGTTTTTATTTTTAAATTTTTTTGAAATTTTTTTTACTTTTTTTGTGTGGTGATGGAGGGGGTGAGGATGTTTGGGAACACTTTTTTGTGTACCCCATCATTTTGCAACAAGTAATCTGACTCGGAAGTCGGAACTGCAAACACAAGACAAGTAAAGGTTTAGGGTTTTCTGAGAACGGGAAGAATGGGAAGATACAGGAGCCGGAGCAGGAGCCATAGCCCCGGGACAAGCAATCGTTACGAAGACCGTCGCGACCGACGTGTTGACCGCCGTTCCCCTCCTCCCTCCGGCCTTCTCGTCCGAAACATTTCTCTCAACTCAAGGTTCCATTTTCCTTCTCTTGGAATATATATATTCTTATTCTTATGCGTGTAAGTGTCTCGTTGATTCCGATCACAGCTAATTTATGATACATTCGAGCTCCTGAGGGTAAAGTCTAGGTGTTTGCAAAAAACTTTTCAGAAGCTAAAAACACTCAGTATTTTCCAAGACAATGTAACTAAAAACTCTGAAGTTTTCGTTCTCGCACCAATTGGGTTTCATCCACTTTTGGTGCATTGGATATCTGGACACTTTTGGTCCTCCTAGCCACGTATCCTGACAAAAATAATAAAAAATTCAATCTGGTAGGAGGAACATTGATTTGTAGACTTGAACTATAGAGTCCACCAAGAGAATAGATTCTTATAAGAAACTTCCAGTTAGTTTTTGTCTGAGTATGTGGCTTGAAGGATCAAAAGTTGCCAAACCATGGACACTCATACGCCCGAAGTAGAACAGGTGAAAGCCCAAGGTCAAAAGTGTGTGCGTGTGTCTGGGTGCATGCTTGTGTGTGTGCGTGTATATATATATGTGTGTGTGTGTGTGTATACACACACATAATGCCTGGGTTAATCACCTGGGGTATTTGGAAAAGATATAATGCCCATATTCATGAGGGAGAGGCTATCTCAACTTACTCCATTCACATGGACATTAAGAGATTGATTCAAAGTTGGGCCTTCTCAAAGATGGAAGCCTTCTATATAATACTCCGTATTGTTCTGAGTTTGTGTTTGCATTTGCATGTAAGTGAATCCTTTTTGACAAAAGGTTATGAGTTCGTTCTTTCTATAAGCTGGTAGAGAATGTGAAATTCATATTATGACTCATCCTTTTATAGGCCAGAAGACATCAGAATACCCTTTGCGCGTTTTGGTCCGCTAAGAGATGTTTATTTACCAAAAGATTACTACAGCGGGTATGCTATGTTTCTTTTCTCTCTTTGAGGTCCGGACTGCTAGATTTGTATGTCAGTTGTTCGTGAGTTTGGGTTCTTGGTGTCTGCTGAATTACATTTTCATTGGCATGCCTTTGATATGTGCCTACTAAATGTTCTCCTGGTTACTGTTGCATTTATAGAGAACTACGGGGCTTTGGATTTGTGAAGTTTCGTTATCCTGAAGATGCAGCTGAGGCTAAGAAATGCTTAAATCGTACTGTCATTGGTGGGCGTGAGATTAGAATTGATTATGCTGAAGAAAACAGAAAGACACCAAATGAAATGCGTAGGCTCACACGCACAAGGTGTTCTCATGTTGTAGCCAGTATTTTGTTGATATTTTTAGTATCCATTATCTTATGCTTCTGACTTTTTGGTGGGTTCTGAGTCAACGTTTTTTATTACTATGTTATATAGTTACAGACAGAGTTCTAGGAGGCACAGTCCATCAAGATCCCCAAGGCGGAGATATCACTGTCAGTATAACTTTATACTTGTTCATCTAATTTCCAAAAATAGGAAAGTTATTAGCATCATTTGTTTACCCTAAAATTAAAATACATATTTTAAACTTTAAAGAGATTCATCATACTTTGTAAACCTCAGCGTGTCAATGATGCAAAGGGCTTCACATGATATTTCATTCGAGGTTTCAGTTTTCAAAGCTGTATATTTTTGGAAATTAATTTTATCCACCTTCTTGATGCATTAGATGAGTAATTTTACTTAAAAACAAAACAGGAAGACATTTTTCTTCCAGAAATGATGATTCAGTAGCATTTCACTCTAGAGCATGTGTGCATGTGCGCACACACACTCACACACACTCATACACTTGTTTATGTCCCATATAAATGCTTGTGTGAGTGGTATGTACATAACATGATATGTTCTTATTTTTGTTAAAGTTAATTGATGAATGCGAGGTAGTAATTTAGTATACAATTGCTAACTACTATGGTTGTGCTTATTAAGCTTATCATTCCTCAATGAATAATAGTTTTCACTTTTATGTGGCAGCTTATTCGCGTTCACCCACCCCAGCACGACATGATTTGAGGTCTGTTTTTAATGAATCACACCTTGGTCATTTTTATTGCTCCCTTCAAAGTCCAATCACCCTTTCTTTAAGTTTTGAGTTCTCAATTTGCCATATTTTTCTGACTATCTGTACTTTGTATTACCTTTTTTCCGTTTAAAGTATTTTATTCTCCCACCAATGTGTACAAGCTAACATATTGATCAAACTTTTGAATCTAGCTTGATTAATGAATCATCTTGAACCCGAGCCTGCTTTTGAATACTTGAGCAGAAGTGAGGTGGTTAGGTGCTCTTGTATGTTAGAATATTTTTCCTTTGAGTAAAGACTGTAAACAATTCAAGTCCCAATGAGTTGTACCAACTAATATATTAATCAAACCTTTTATCGTTAGTCTATTGTTGAACCAATTTGAAGTTGAGCCAACTTTTAAAGGCTTGAATTGGATGGGAACTTATGTTCTAACTTTCGCTCTGTTAGTCCTGTATATAGATGAGTATATGTAATTCTTTGTAGGGTAAGCTGAATATCCAAATGTAGAAAATGTTAGCTCACTTCATTACAATTGATTAAATATTAAGCTATTTGCTAGTCAAGAAACCTATTCCCATAGTTCAACAATACGTCACCAATTTACCGCTAGGACATGTCCAAAAATCATCGATAAAGCTAGCATAAAAACAATCTCCTTGATCACATTGTCACCATTGTGATGAGGAGTAGGTGGCGGTTGTGCAAAGTCATCTTTCTCATCTTCATTATGTGAAAATGTTTACTACATCTTGTGATTCTTCATCAATCATTCTCAAGATAGTACTAGCCTTTCTTTGGCATTGATAAGTACTTGTACCTTGAGTAGCTTCAATAGTACAAGCTCTCTTGGGGACATTCGCCCTTCAAGACTGCTAGACGTAGCCATAGCTTCATCACTGTTGTCCATAAAAGATCATGCTAAAAGTCAAATTATGTAAATTCTCCGTGAATCCTAACCAAAGACAAGCATGTCCCCTCTTCCGATATCATCTAATTGCGGCAATGCGGCATAGAGTGAGTTTAAGGTTTTTCATCGCTGCTGCTTCTCCTGAAGCTCTTCTCTTCTATTGCCAAGCCATCATGACTTTTTTTACTCAGTATGTCTTATGTAATATTTATTTATTTTTTACCTCGTAATTTTTAAGTTTTTTCCCTTCATTTTTCAAGGTTATGGTGTATTTGAATTTTGAACTTTGTTTTCTTGGTAGTTTTGTTTTGCTACAACCCATTTATATTTAATCTTAATGCTAATTTTTGTTGTTGTTACTTATCTCTTATTATTATTGTTTTAAATTTGTTATTCAAACTTGAAAATTGTGTGTACATGATTTTTTAGATTTTTTCTTAGTAAAACAGAGTGCTTGAATGGTGGATCCAGCATGGAAATATGGGATAGACTCAACACCCACCATTGAAGGACAAAAAAGAGTTACAAATATGTGAAATGCATATTTTTTAAACTTTAAAATTGAGCTTACACCTCAATACGCCCTGAGGCTTATGCAATACACCTTAGAATAAAAATCCCTCAAACACAACACGCAGTTTCGAACATTGAATTTTCCAATATCTTCCGATATGAGGTTAATGCAATGTGCAACAAAAAGAGTAAAAAAGAGTGTTGGTATTTTCTCCTTTACCACTTTGGCTGTTGCTTTGTCATTTGAACCCTTATATGTCACGAATTGAACAGTTCTGTCCTTATTCATTTTGCCAGTATTTTTTCAAGTAAGCCTCACCTGGATGCATCAATTGACTCCAAGGAAGTTGATCAAAGTTTGATGTTTGGCACTTTGGCATCTGCACAGGAATCTGACATGATTGTACAATCGCGATCCTTACAAGAAGCTTTATGTTTTTCTCTAAGCTTCTCAGTCTCCCTTTGGCTCTTCAAGTAGTAGTACACACAATTCATGGTAGATGAGAGGTTTAAGTCTGGGTCCATATTGCCTAATTGACTCAATCATAACTCCTCAAATGTGTCGCATTGAAAGTGGTATTGTTTTCAAAGAAGAAATCAGCAATATGTATAACTACCCTTTCATTCTCCTCTGTGCTCCATGTTGAGTGCTCAAGGGTTGGCTGAATGATCTCTTTATTGTGTCTTTCACCCACAACTTCAGGAGTTTTCCTTAGGATCAAAGCAAATTATGTTTGGGCACCTTTGACTCCGGATAAAAAATTTAAAGCAACAAGCTTCCTTTTTTATGTTGTCCTAGAACTTGGATGATAAGTAGAATCCGTAGACGATGGTGGTGGCTGTTCTGTTGGTAGTTCTTCAACATTATCATCAAATGTGACCAGAGCCTTCTGGACAGTTTTTGGAGATACGCTCGCATCTCCCATCTAATATTTGGAGTTGTTTTGGACACGCAACCACATCCCCATAACCGACAGGTAAAAAATCTCCATTGCTCGAAGCCTCGAACCTTCAGCCTTAAGTGCTCTGAAACATAAGTAAAAAATCAAAGATACTTTGTATATGTTCAAAATAAGAAACATAAGTTGAATATAATTTTGGAAACATAAGTTAAAAATCAGAAATTCAGAATAGTACTTTTCAAAACATTACAAATAAATCAAAGAGTACTCAGTTTCTGCTACAATTGTCTAACCTGAACTCTCATCCTCGATAGAAAAAAGTTGGGGTAAAGGATATATTCACACCAAGAGAATGAGAAAGTTCACCGATAGAAATCAGTTTTAAAAAACCTTCAGGCTTACACTTAAACTGAGCTTTCTGCCCAAGGAAAGGCGTTATGTTTTACAATGCCACCAGATTGAGTTTTGGAGCTGTCTGCAAGATTAATATGTGGCAGACTTTTGGTATGATATACTCCCTCTGTCCTACTGTTTATGTCCACCTTTTCTTTTTGGCTCGTCCCAATTGTCACTTTCCTTTTTTATCAACACTCAAAAGGCACAATTATCTTTTTTAACCTACACTTAAATTTTAATTACTTTTTGTATTTCTCATACAATTTCTTACTCCCACCAAAGTACCCAGCGACAAAGGAATTGATATAGAAGGGAGAAATCTTGACCCTAACTAGGGACATTTGAATTTGGAGTAATTAGACAAATGAAGAAGACACCCAAGCCGACAATGAAGAAAGCGACAATGCCCGGCGACAAAAAAATTAAAGGACGATCAATTTGGAATAATTTGTGTTTCTTTTCAGATCTCCGTCTCTCTCTAACCAGATCCATCTCTAACAATAAAAGAAGGTGACAATGACAATGATGAAGAAAGCGACGGCAACATCCATTTTTATGATACTGAGTTTGTTGACGATAGAGCACCACTGATTTCACGAAATAGTGTGCCTTCGATTTCTGCAAGGTTGATGGCGACCAGCTCCGTCAATAAAGGGAGACGTCGGGGGTTCTGAAGAAATAGACAGAGGAAAAGCTGAATCTCTGACCTTGCTGCAGAAACCAAGTTTCAACAACATCAGAAACCAGAAAATTCTTGTTATTGAACTTTTTCAGATATGATAATGGGACTCCCAGAATAAACAATTAATATTAGACCTTTTCATGTGGATGCATGACTAGTTCTGACAAATGAAGACATCAACATAGAGCTTTCTCAATGGCAGAACTTTCATGACTGCTCAACGGTTGTAAAAGACAGATTGCTAACATACAAGCTGAAGCTGTAGGCAAAAAGGAGCTGTAATTAAGTTAAGTATGTTAAACTTAGTTGAACAGATAATTACATTTAAAAATAGAATTGATGATATCTTCAGTAGTTGTACCTTACTAAGACTAAACCATCGTACGTGTACATTAGAGAAAGAAGATTTTTTTTGAGACAGATGTAGTATACTCCCTCCATCCAAAAGTGCTTTGACTTTCCCAATATGCCCTTGTCTCCTCCTTTCGCCGCTGCACGGAAGGGAGCTGTAACCAGAGATGCAAAATTTTGGATCTGGATCTAGAGAATAAGTTAGTGGGGTATTGTTGTGGAAATCTGGAGAAGAACGAGACTGGAGAAGAAAAAAGGGGTGGAGGGATCTGTAGAAGAAGAACGAGACTGGAGAAGAAAGAATTAGTGGTGGTGGTGGCCGGTGGGGGG